TTGGGGAAGAAAAAATGCGTCTTATATGCCAAAAAATACGGTAATGCTTAATTTAATCCAGAGACTGAAAAAAAGACCATGTTCTCACCAGTATGACTTAAGTGCCAAGAGAGGACAGTTCTGAAAAATAGATACTTGTTTTCAGTGTGTCCTCTACAATTTATAGAAATCCTTCATTATATCATGGGTGGGGAACTTCAGGCTCTGGAGCACAATCCAACCTCCCTAAAGGTCCACACAAGCCATATACCCTTCTTGTGGCACCATTGCTTAATGGTTCTGAGCTCTTGTACAATTTTTCCTTATCATAAAAGGATGAAAAGTGTTTGTTAAATAATTAGAAAATCACAAGTCTGAGTAACTTTCAAAGTAGTGTATACTCATGTTTTAAAAGGTGCATTTTGAGTAGATAGGCTATTCTGATAGTTCTTTTAAACAGGATTTTGATATCCAGATAAAGTGCAGCTGTTCCTGTTCCAAGATACTTGAAGGTTCAAGCACAATGGAGATGATACAGAAACAGATGGCTTCTAGGATGGCAGTTGTTCAGAGGTGGTCAACCATCAGGGGCATACCCCCCACAGCACCATCCACAAAACAATTCATTTTTATCCCATATGCTCCCAGGTACCCTCTAGGGTGTATTGGGGAAAATCTTGCTATGTTTTTGGTCTCTCTGGGCCACTTTAGGCCTGTAAGAATCCCTTTTTTTAATAACAAAAATTCAGAGAAGGCCTCTGCAGAGCCTACAATGTCCCAGACAAAAATGTCTCACACCCTCAGACAGCAAATAAAATAAAATTGGCTCTGGATCCACAAAAATAGCACTTGGATCCACATGATGCCCACAGACTGTACTTTTTCCAACCCTGATCTAGGATCATTATGAAGATATGAAGCTGCTCTCCTACCCAATACTGTTCAAACTATTATGCTCAATATTTTATATTATGGGTAGCAGCAACTCCCCAGGATTTTACTAGCATGGCCTTTTACACATGTCAGCTGACCAGTATGTAAAGAGATCTTGTTAACACCTTTGAGACTAACTGAAAGAAAGGAATTGGTAACATGAGCTTTCGTAGACTTCAGTGTAGTTCCTCAGATGCACTACCTCCACCAAATGCATCTGAAGAAGTAGACTTAAGTCTATGCAAGCTCATGTTGTCAACTTTTTTCTTTCAGTTGGTCTCAAAAGTGCTACAAGATCTCTTTACACACTGATTTTACAGACTAACACAGCTATATATTTGAATACTATCACTGTTAGCTAATCATTTCAACTTGACAAGTTGGGAATGAAATATGGGAATTCCTTTATGCAAAGGACATTCTCTGAACTTGAGCTATGACTCCAGCACACCTTTCCACTGACAAAAGATCTTCTATAGCAGGGTAGTCCAATTCCTGTATGCATGTGGATCAGTGTTTTCACTTGATAACAATGGCTAGAGTATTGTTTCCCCACACAAAGTAGCCTCAGCATCATCTGACAGAGCATTATTCTTATTACTGAGATCATTTACTCCAGTTTGCCTACAAAATCCAGAGGGTAATGAAAAATAGTTGTGTGAGCTATGTTATCCACAAAGATATACAGGTTTGGAGAGCCTTCATACTAGTAACAGTCTATCTTTAATGAGTTGGGGAAATGTGGCTTGGCTTTGCAAGAGCGGGCTGATGTCAGGATCGAAGCACCAACTTTACTGGTTCTGACTGATGAAGACTCTAGGCATGAGTGAACTAATTAACCTTTATTAGGGGGAGAATATGAAAGAACACACATGTGACATAGATTATTGCACAAGCATAAAAACATGAATTTTGAAAAATGGCTTCCAACTTTTGAAAAATGGCCACAAAGTGAGTTAAGTGAGCTGGGCTGTGCTCAGATGGCAGATTTGGCAACAAAAGCCCCATGATAGAACCCAGGTGCAGCTCAGATTTTACTTGAATTTGGGAGAGGTAAGTCACATTTTTATACTTGTGTGATCATTTCCTCACTCTCATACACAGCATACAGAGCTAACCAAAGTAGAAAAGTGAAAAAAGCAGTTTAGGGTTGGACTGAAGGGTAATATCTACCTGTCCTGAAGAATGGCCCATGGAAAGCAGGAGAGACTCAGACTGAGAGTATGGGAGCAGTGAGAGTGGCTCAGACCAGAATCTGAGGGCAACAGCCATGAGCAAAGCTGGGAGAGTTGAGTGCCATAAAGAGACTATGTTTTCCTGGGCATATTTATATCTATAAAAGAGCCTCAGCCAAGGTGATTTCATGGGAAATAAAGATCCGATAGCCCTTTGGAAGGACCAAAAGTGTTCCCAAAATGGTGGCTTGCTTTTATATCACAAAAGATAAAAAATGCTAATTTGATATATAGTCAATCACTGACTTCACAACACCGTAACAAGAACTGAAGTCCCAAACTGAGCAGACAGAAAGGATATTTAGGAGCATATGAGAAGATGAAAGGGAATCCTTGTTTCATTTGATTAGGGCCTTTGCAGACTGCCAGAAATAGTGTGAATTGAGGCCACTTTAACTGCCCTGACTCAGTGCTAAGGAATCATGGGAAATGTAGTTTATTGTGACACCAGAGATCTCTGGTAGAGAAGGCTCAATGTCCCAGAAAAAAAATACAATTCCCATGATTCCCTAGCACTGAGCCAGGGCAGTTAAAGTGGACTCAATTTGTATTATTTCTGGTAGTCTGCAAAGGCCCTTAGTTGCCAGAACTCATCTTTTGATATTTGTTTTCCATAAGAAATGCAGAGTGGGAGGAGGTCCTCTCCCAAGCCCCTTTTCCCATTGTTTTCTGCCTTCCACATGTTTGGGGTCTATGTGCTATATTCACAATACTATCTTTTCCAATGTTTCATAAGTCATTACAGCATCTGAAACCCATGCTGTCATACAACAATTTGATATCAAAATATAGCTGGATCATGGGAATATGAAAGCACTAACAGCTATCTCTCTTTTTTACAAGTAGGTAATAGACAGAGCTATAGAAACCCTCTCAGTGACCTTGGGCAAATTGCATGATCTCAGCCCCAGAAAACCCTGTGATAGGTTCTTCTTAAGATTGTCATAACTTGGAAGTGACTTGAAGACACACAACAACAACAAATGGCCACATGATCACAGAGTAGTCTCTGACAATGCTGGCTCTTCGGCTTAGTGATAAAGATGAGCACCCCCCCCCCCCCCCCGATGGTCAGACACGACTTGACAACCTTGTCAACGGGAATACCTTTACCCTTTACCTTTATGCATTTTTATGCATGCTATCCCAAAGCAGACATTTTAAGAACTCTTTTTTATTGTTGTTTCTTTGAGTCAAGAATGGTATCACAAGTATTGAGTTTATATTAGTGTATTCAGCCAGAAAAATGAAAATCAGGTCATTTCACTTAATAACGTGAACAGAACTTATCCTCAAGCATCCCTACTTACAGCTGGAAAACACATTTTTCTTTCATTGAGGACTGAAGTTATGGGCCAAACTTGGATTAGGACCACCAGGAGCCAGATAAAAATGTCTCAGGGTAGGGATAAAGCCTGCTGGTCTGCACTTGGCCATTCCTGCTGTGTATCAAAATGCTGTGGAAACACTGAATTCTTCCCTAAAGAGGTCTCCCTGTGCTTGAATTTGAATGACACTGGGCAGATTAATTTTGACATTGACACTTGACTTTGAGCATCTTTAACTGGCAAGCACAAAGACACAACTGCAAATGCAGAAAGCCTGGATGGCCTACGTTTAGAAGCAGACAAGATGAGGGTGTGTGTGTGTGTGCATGCCATGTTCTAATCAAACTGAGGGGGATTTCTTTTAAAGCGATACATTAATCCCACTAGCACTTTGGTAGACTGTTGAAAAGGCTGTTGCCTCACATTACCATCAGGCTGAGGAGTGGTTTCATTGCATTATGTAAAGGTGTCCTACATCCCAAGAGAATAAGGAATCAAAGAAAAAGCTTTGCATTGTTAGGCTGACAGTTCATAACAGCCTGGATTGAAATTGATGTGATCAGACTGGTCATGTCATATCTGCTGATTGCCTAGATAGAAAGAATATTGGTTGACAGCATAGCTGACACAAAACGTTCCCTTCAGTCTGATTGTTCCAGCTAGGAGTCAGTTGAAAGCCATCCCATGCAAATCTCCCAGTAGGATTGCTATGAATCATGAGAAGCTATAGAGTAAATGAAAATAAGGAACAGATAACAGGGGAAGGGCAGCTATTAAAATGGAAATTGAGTGGTTGCAGTGGTGGTGGGCAGGAGAAGAAAGAGAACCAGCATGACTGAAAAGTTATTAGTAATAATATGTTTGTATGGGTACATACACAGAGTTTGGGTGGGTTTGTTTTTGTTTTTACAAACATTTTGTGCCTCTTAGTCAGTGGTGAGATAATATTTCATCCATCAGTTGTTTTTGGACTACATTTCCCTGGCTATGCTGGCTAGGATTGAGAGACATTGTAGTCCAGCATATATTGATGGATTTGTTCCCTCCACCCCTGGTCTTTTGGATGAGCAACTGTTGGACCAGAGTCAAATTATGACCCTTGTTAATATTTTATTAATAAATGCAGAGAAAGTGGTGTAATTAAAATAGGACAACTTTAGAACAGGGGTTGGCAATGGTGTGTACATGGGGGGGCTGTGTGACTTTTCTG